CAACAGAGGAGTAGTATGCTCCCTGTACCCCGCTCCTGTTAGTAATCTGGCTGCCGCACGTTGGACTAATTGCAGCTTCTGGGCAGTCTTCAGAGGCAACCCCACGTAGAGAGCATTGCAGTAGTCTATACAGGATGTAACCAGAGCGTGTACTCAGGTAACCCAATTCAAAGCAGATATTGTAGGATTTTTTTGCCTTCATTATGGCTGTGGGGAAGGGCCTTTGGATGAACTGTTTTGAACTAGATTATATGGCCGTGTAGTTTGGGGGAGGGAGTTGGGGCTTGCCAAAATACTGTTTGCTTACACTTGAAAATTACCTTGGTCCGGCCCTGAATGACCCTCAATTTATCCATGAGTCATATCGAAATCCACAATCTTGGCCCCAAAACCTGGCCTTGACTTATATATGAAGTTGACTTATATGTGAGTATATACAGCAATTTCCATTTCCTTTTGTTCATTCTAGACCTCTCCGCTGCAATAGCAGCAAACAGGTTTGCTCTCCATTTTCCATTATGGCCCTTCAGGTAGTTGGTGAAGGCTATCATAATAGATCGTCTGACTATTCCTCCGGAACTGAGTTTTATTACTGAACTTTTTAGGAGACATTTCGGTAGACATTTTCTCAGGATTTAGCAGTTCCTCTTGTGGCACAAGCATGCATAAAGCCTCGATTCCCTTGAATACCTTAGCTCTAGGAGGTCAGTATAAGTGTACTTCAGGCATGAGCATTTCTTTTCAAGTACGATCAGCTTTATCGGAAACTTCACTGATTTGCAGTCTAATTGGTGGCTACGGGAGTTTCACAGTCCTTTAAACTTCACACTATTTCTGGTGCTCCGGCCTTCTGGAAACTTACAGCTAATCATGACACAGAAACCTGAGAGGCATATATTCAGGAGGAGACTGTCAGTCTTCTTCAGGAAAATAACAAGGCCTCTACTGGAAAGAGATGAAAATTTATTTCTCTCTATAATATGACATCTTTGCCTTGTGCTGAATAAAGCTTACAACCAACAGCTGAACAGCAGGAAGACAACATGAAGGGGGAAAGAAAAACAGAGTGAAGGAGGCATGGATTGCTCTTTACTCGGTGGTGCTTTTGCAGGAGAGCAAAAGGGCACATGCCAATTAGGTATCAGCAGGCTCTCAACATTGCTGTAAATCCAGGAATTAGAAGCTAAAGGGTAATTTTGACCTGGCAAAGGAGCACAGGAGAAAAGCATGAAACAATTCCTGCTCCTCGGTCTCAGAAGACCATCCCCTTAACCCTTCTGCACTTTTCTTCACACTGACAGCTTCCAAAGTTCTGTGGTGGCACCTGCCCTTTTGAATCGATCCTTCTGAATGTGTCACCCAGGGACTTGGATGCTGAAACTCCCAGTTAGGGCTCTGAAATGTCTTTTAATAATAATAATAAAAGGTCTGCCATTCCAGGTGCACTCTGATATATTTGACATCTCTAAAAGCAAGAAAACTGCACTGGAATAGCAATAAAAGATTAACTAATTTGCATCGGGAGAATTCCATTTCTCCTCCCAGATATTTAAAATACAACACTGACCACACAATGACCTTATGGCAAATTACTAGAAACAGGGAAAGGTAAACTCCAAGTGCAATTTGCAGATGAAACATGAAGTGTTTCAGCACCAGGATTGTGGCGCAGCTGGCTGAGTGTCAGCTGCATTAAGATCACTCTGACCAAAAAGTCATGAGTTCGAAGCCAGCCCGGGTTGGAGTGGGTTTCCAACCAATTGTGTGTAGCCTGTTGTCGACCTTTGCAACCCGAAAGACAGTTGCATCTGTCAAGTAGGAAAATAAGGTACCACCTTAAAGTGTGGGGAGGCCATAAAGAAGACTCCAGCAAAGCATTCCAGCAGGGAAGCATGCGGGGAATGCGGAAGTGCTTCATCAGTGTCGCAGATGGACGATGAAAGCGACAGCTCCCCTGATGGCCAGAAAAAGTTAAATAGCCTCTGTGTATGTCTGTATATGTTTGTATGTCAAAATTGGCATTGAATGTTTGCCATATATGTGTACACTGTAATCCGCCCTGAGTCCCCTGCGGGGTGAGAAGGGCGGAATATAAAAGCTGTAAATAAATAAATAATAATAAATAAAGTGATTGGAAGGTGGTTTTTTTGTTTAAATAAACAAATGCCTACACCACACACACACACACACAATACATGCTTATCACTTTTGTAATATCATTTTGTGGGGGCTGCAACAGTAGAGGGAGGTATTTGTTGGTTAGGACCCTCGCAAATGAACCTATCTACCCCTGCCCCCTGCAATTTCTGTGCATATCTAAGGCCCCTTCTACACTGCCTCAGAGATCAAATCTAGGATAGTCCAAAACCCATAAAACACAATTACATGGCTATAGGTTAGGCCATTGGTTCTCAAAGTGTGTTCCAGGGAGCCCTTAGGGCTCCGGGAAGCATACTGAGGGGCTTGACTGAAATACTGTCAAGTTTATGTTGGTTAAAATTGTTCTTCATTTTAAATATTATATTATTATTTCTATCTTTCTTTGCACTACAAATGAGATATGTGCCATGTGCATAGGAATTTGTTCATGATTTTTCCCAATTAATTCACGCAAACTTTCTCCATCCATCTGCCACTGGCCCAGCCTTTTTGTCAAATTTCAAAACATAATGCGTCAAAAAGTTTTCCCATGCCTGATATATATATACAGTATATATAACATAATATGTAAACATTTATTGGGGCTTCACAAGAAATTCTGGCTTCAAAAAAGCCCCCACAGCTGAAAAAGTTTGAGAACCCCTAGATTAGGCTATCAAGTATGTTTAATCTATCTACCTAACACCTTTTTACATATATGTGTACATTTTATTGCACATTTTTAATACGGGCAATCAAAATACCTGCGAACCTGCATTCCTACATATGATTGTTTATATTTGAGCTATTCAAATGTCTGCAAAGCTATAATCCTACATATGATTTTTTTTTATACCGGAGGAATCCAAATAGTTGCAGACCTACATTTCAACACATCATTTAAAAAAATTCCAGAGCAACCCAAATACAGTAGACTCTTGGTTAACTGGAATCCAAGCAACCGGAACTCTCAAACAAACGACAAAAAATGAATAAATAATATGGCATTAACAAAGCTGAGTTTAAGCCGTTCTCAATAAATTTTCCCCAAACTTTATCAAAATCATTTTCCTTCCATACCCCTTTCTTGACTCTTAACCTACATGTCAATTTATCATTTATTGCTATTTTCCATAATTCTTTATACCATTCTTCAATTGATATGTTTATTTTACCTTTCCAATTCTTCGCTATCAGTAATCTTGCTGCAGTTAACATGTTATCTATTGCATCTTTCTCTGTTTTTTCAATTTCTTAACATTATATAGTGACAACAATGCAATACTTGCACTTTTCCCTATCTTCATATCCATTATAGCTTCTATCTCTCCAAATACCTTCCCCCAAAATTAATTTACATATTTACATTGCCACCACATATGTATATATGTACCCACCTCCTGGCAACCTCTCCAACAATTTTTTGTGGAATTCCTATTAATATTTGCAATATTTACTGGTGTTAAGTACCATTTCCAAACCAATGGCTTAAAAGAATTAGACGGGAAATTACCTCCACAAGAAGAAATGGTATTTTGGAAAGAGAATGCAAATTGAAGTGGCTCAGAAGGGGGGGGGCACAGAGGTGGGGGGGGAGTATACAAGATATATATACACTTTGGTTGATGTAATGAATTGAGGATGGAATATAAGATTATTGAAGGTATTGATGTATTGATGTATTCTAAGAAAACCAATAAAATATTTGGGGGAAAAAAACAAAGCTGAGTTTATAATACAGTAAAATGGTGTTACATTAAGTTGTTTCTCTTTTTTGTCTTTATTTGGGTGTATTTCAATAGTAATATCAAATCAATACAGAGTTTATGATATGGTTTATTTCTTTTGCTGGTCTATGACCGAAATAAATTATTTGATTTGATTTGGATATGGTATAGTACAGGATATAGGATTAGATAGGCCCATTTTTAATAATCTCAAGCAACCATGAACTACATTTATCTGGCATCTACCAATCCCCATAATTGCTGGTTAACTGAGAGTCTATTGTACTGAGAAAACTAGTTGTCATGATACAATTTCAAAATAGGCTCAGATGTATGGAGACCTCAGGATCAAATGCAATAAAATAACTTCTGATATTTATAGTCTGGAGCACAGCTTCAGCTCTTGTCATTCTTGAAAGCTTTGTAGGGAAATTTAGAGCCTTTGTGAAAAGAGAGCATTCTACAAGTGCTTAATAAATCATATACAACGATGGTACAAGCAAGGAAACAAAACACAAAATATTAACAACTGGCTTCTTGAGCATTGCAATGGCAGCTGCTGCCCCCATTATTTGGTTAAGCCCCTAACAGAATGATGAATATATATTGTTTTAGCAATGAATGATGAGGAGAAACAACACGTAAAAGAACAGCAGCATTGATACATAAATGACCAAAGACTTGGATACATCTTAAATTACAAGCAAACTGCTCCACTATATTTTGATTTAAATGACAACTTATGCCAAAGCAGTAAAACTGGAAAATGTGTAGTCAATACAGTAATAAGACTCTGTATCACTTTGAATAACTTATTGATGACTGTGCTGTAAAATGGGTCTAATACTGCTATGCTGTGAATAGATAGGGGGGTTTTTTTGAGAAAAGGTGTTTTTGTCCTTTGCATAAAAATAAAAGAGAAAAATGTTCAAGACATTATGTCTGGGGGATGCAAACACTATATTTGAAAGTGGCTTCTGAATATATTATGGCACCTCATGTATAATGTCCCATACTTCAAATACTCACCTCTTTATCTTCTGTCACACAGCAAAGTTGAGGTTGAGAAAAAAAACTGAAATAAGTGAGGGCTTTCATTATTTCTGAATAATATGGTCTCTCAAAGCAGCCTACCTTTGTTTTCCAGTTTGAGTTCTTCCGCTAGTAAGCTGTCTTGTCTATTGCCAAGTACAAATGCCAGGAATGAGAGGATGAGGGCATCCAGGACTCCAATAATGGCCAGAATATACGCCCAGCGGATCGAACAAGCGCCCAGCGTGTACTTGTCTGTCTTGTCACCACACATCCGTTTCACCTCTTTGGCATCCCAGCCATCAGGATAAATCATACAGCCAAGGACAAGGCAGGCAGCTGGGAAGGAAAAAACAGAAAGAGTTAGAAAGAAGGCAATAAAAATGTGTATTTGCTATGTCTTCATTGTATTTCACAACTACACACTGAATTTATCCAGTCTCACAATCTTTCTCATGCTTTGTTCTCAAAATGTTCAACTTTGTGACTCAGGGACTTCATAAGCAGATCATTTCAAAATACTTTGTCAGCTCCAATCCTGTCAATTACAACAAAGCACCCCAATGACTCTTTTGTCTGCTTTTCATCATTTCTGAACCTGTTCCACGAATGCGCTTGCAAACCAAATGGGGAAACTAGTACTCCCACTGACAGCACAGAGCAAATGGGAATACTCTAAATTAAAAGTCTGTCAAACTTCTCAATGTAAACTCACAGGCAGAGCGAAGGCCTTGGGTTTTTACCCACATTAAACACCAATGAAACAAGATGTTGAACCAGGATGAAAAAAAGTGATTTACACACAGGATGAAATATACAGTCCACATCCACTCCTGGACACAGCATATTATTTGAAAACATAGAAATGCTGGACCACTCTCACAACCACCATGTCAGACTACACAGAGAAGCCATTGAAATCCACAAGCATGTGGAGAATTTCAACAGAAAGGAAGAAACCATGAAAACAAAATCTGGCTACCAGTATTAAAAAACTCAAAAATTACAACAGCAAAACAACAGAGAGTAAACAATCAGGCACATCAAATCACTCTCAACAAAAGATTCCCCCCAAGCACTTCCAAGCCATTAAATGCTAATCAAGGTGGTCTGTTGAAACATTCACACTTAGCTCCAGCAGACAAAAGTCCTTTGTCCCACCCTGATCATTCCACAGATATATAAACCCATTTTCCTACTTCCAACAGACCTCACTACCTCTGAGGATGCTTGCCATAGATGCAGGCGAAACGTCAGGAGAAAATGCCTCTAGAACATGGCTACAACCCACTCCTAGTTTGTTGAATCTTGATTAAGGTTCTCAATGAAATGAAGGATTTGTATATGTAGCCCAACAACGTATCATGTATAAGTTGTATAGCACTTTGTAGGAGCCCCTGGTGGCGCAGTGGATTAAAGCCCTGTGCAGGAAGGACTGAAGACCGACAGGTCGCAGGTTCGAATCTGGGGAGAGGCGGATGAGCTCCCTCTACCAGCTCCAGCTCCTCATGCGGGGACATGAGAGAAGCCTCCCACAAGGATGATAAAACAACAAATCATCCTGGCGTCTCCTGGGCAACGTCCTTGCAGATGGCCAATTCTCTCACAACAGGAGTGACTTGCTTTTTCTCAGGTCGCTCCTGACACGACCAAAATAGCACTTTGTCAATTTCTTCTCTGCTGCCTTTTCCCTTTGCAAAAGAGGGACAGAGAGCTCCGTCAACCTTAGGTTATAAGGCAGAATGTGCATAACATTTTGGAAATACTTTCAACCTCAGCCCCAGCCTTCTGCAATCTTCTAATCAACTTTTCTGCCTATTATATGCTGCTCACATATCTAGTGGTAGTAGTCGACCTTGGTAGTAATTTCATTTGGTTTGACTGGAAGAATACATAAATGACAGAGCTCCTAAAAAGATTAAATATGAATAAAATATAGTCAGGAAAATGCAGCTTTTTTTCTTCAGCTGTTTAATTATAAGCCCTGAACAACATGGGAATGAGAATTAGGAAAGAGAATGAAATGGAAACCACACCAAAAGAAACACAAACAGCTACATTCCTCACTTAAGCAATGCAAAAATATTTACACCATATTTTTATACAATCCTAGTGATGATATAATGAATTTTAAATATAATATTGGAGAAAGAAGAATGGTTTCAGTGCAATGACTATTTTGGTAAATTACGTAATCAAAGTTTTCACCTGACGTATTTGAAGCACTGATTACTCCAAATTAGAGTACACCCAATCCATCAACAGCGTTCAGGTACTGATTTAACATTCCACAATTGATAACTTCTAGTCTAGTTGGGGCTTCCAACAGGATTCCAGCCACAGATTTGATGAAACCCAATACTGGTCTAGCCTTGCAATTCCAGCCCTCAAACTCCTGTTGTACACTTTGACCTTTTATCCACAAGATACCTGACTAGATCTGGTGCTTGGGCATCAAGGTGATCGCTATACTGTACCGGTGACTTGTTGATGAGTTTGTTTTCATATCAGGAGTGGTATGAGAAACTGCAAGTTGGTTCTGGTGTGAGATAACTGGCTGTCTGCAAGGACGTTACCCAGGGGTCACCTGGATGTTTTACCATCCTGTGGGAGGCTTCTCTCATGTCCCCATATGAGAAGCTGGAGCTGACAGATGGGAGCTCACTCCACTCCCTGGATTCGAATTGCTGACCTTTCAATCAGCAGTCCTGCCAGCACAAGGGTTTAACCCATTGCGCCCCTAGGGGCTCCTGCTGATCAGTGCGCCACTAGGGGCTCCTGCTGATCAGTGAGTTTAATGTGGTAAAATAGGATCAATTCCCTGAATTCTGTCTACATCCCCAGCTCCCAAAAATCTATCCCAGTGGTTCTCAACCTGGGGTCCCCAGATGTTTTTGGCCTACAACTCCCAGAAATCCCTGCCAGTTTACCAGCTGTTGGGATTTCTGGGAGTTGAAGGCCAAAACATCTGGGGACCCACAGGTTGAGAACCACTGATCGATCCAGTTTCTTCCTAACTGGCCTTGACTCTGTTGCTGCTTGACCTAAGTAACTCCTTGCCAGACCAATGTTTATCCCCACCCCCACCCCCATACCTGTATCATCATAGTCCTTCCTTCATAGGATTATGAAAACTCTGACTGGTTTGCCCAGCCCCTCACTTCACAGATGCATTTTCAAATACATTTTTTGTAACATAATATTTATTAATTAAAATATCATTCTTATCTTCAGTCCACAAAAGGATGGCCACAAAGTCAACCTGTGCATACCTGCCTTGAATGGTCAGACTTTTCCATCCCTCTCAAAGATTCAGGAAATTTTTGTCTGTGCAACAAAGTCTACTTTTGTGTTCACCTACAATTTCTTTACACACCCAATGCCCTCATGGGTTAGTACCAAAAGCGATGCACTCAAAGGCAAAAAAGATCACCACTCATTCAGTATCCTTTCCTTCAACAAATATGTGTTCTCCCATTTCTCCAAATGCCATGTGTCCATTTTAACATTAAAAAACCATGGTGGAATATCAGGGAAAGCAGCAAGACGGGCAGCAGACATAAATAAATGGATCTCCTGACAAGCTCTTAGAAATGTCCAGCCCACACACTTCTTTCTATGCCAGAAAAGCAAATGCAAATTTAGTCCTTTACACAACTGTAATGGTAATGAAGTGCTATTTATTCACCCATCTGTAAAGCATGCTTATAAATGTTTTATTGGGATTGGATGGGGAATTAGAACAGAGTCTTGAAGTAGGATATGATTCTGGCATATGAGATGGATGCATGAGCTCTCATGAAGATTGGGAGGAGGAAGAAAGGGAGTCGTTGCTGAGGAATCCAGGAGAATAGGTTTTGAAGGAGAACACTTGATGATTATATTAACCTTGTGGACGCGCAGCTCCATTGTTTATATATTTATTTTTCCCTCATGCATACTTCTTTGAGATTTTCCCACTTCTCTCTGTCCTGCTGTCATTTATTTCCCCCTTCTGTTGATATTTACAATTTATATGAGCATTTCAATGGATGGGTCAGATCAAAAATTGATGTGAAGGGGCAACAGCCAAAATCCACATCAATGCTACTTTGCTGATACATTATCAAACTGTCACTGGTCATTGTAGCAACTGAATTCAACTACTATATCTGCTCTTATCACCAGTGCAGAGAATATACTACCAAGTTTCTCTGGCAGGTGGAGGTATTTGTTAAGCCGTGCTATGATAAATATGAGGGTCGGAACTTAATAGTGGCAACACAGCTATAAAGACGCCACGTAATGAAGCCAAAGAATGTCATGTATACCACACGTTAGTTACACACCAACCTTACCTATAAGCAAAAAAACTTGCCCTGTGGGCTGAGAAAGGCAGTACATAAATATAGTTAATAGATAAATATGTCACGCGCATGCGGAGTGATGTGAAGAACTGAGCCTCGTATTAGCTTGTGGTCTAAAGTAAGTGTTGTTGTGATGTTTTCGAAAAAACAACAACGGAGTTGGATAAAGATTGAGTGTGCCAGAGGTCGTACAACATGACAGTTAATGCTGTTGCTGCACTCACAGACAGTGATCGACGCCATACGATTCGTGAGCTGGCCCGAAACACAGGATTTGCGCATAAGACTGTGCTCCACATTCTGAAGGAATGCCTGGGCATAAGAAAAATTGCTTCATGATGAGTACCATATCATTTGACGGAAATGCAGAAATGGCTATGATACGATGCTGCTCGTACCCACTTGGAGCGCTATGAGAGTGAAGAGAAGCTTTCTTACACCGTATCATTATGCTGGATGAGACTTGGGCCAGATCATACCAGCCAGAACAGAAACGCCAATCAAACAAATTGCGTCATTACAGGTCACCACCAAGTTCAAAATTTCATCAGAACCCCAGCAATGTGAAAGTTATGGTGATTCTCATGTACAACTGTGATGGTTTCATCCTAACATTAAGCCCTTGTGACTTTGACTTAATTCCCCCACATCAGACCGTCAATGCTCAGTATTGCTGCTCATTTTTGGAACACCATCTCAGACCAGCTTTGAGAGAAAAAATGGTGACACTTTCTGCAGAATGCCCCTATCATTTTGCATGACAATGCTTGGCCATATGCAACGCAAGCTGTGGCTGATTTGCTCAATCGATGGGGCTGAGAAGTGCTGCACCATTCACCATACTCCCCAGACTTAAGCCCTTGTGACTTTGACTTAATTCCTAAGATGAAGGAACTACTTTGTAGCATTTGCTTCAGAACTGTTCCAGAGATTCTTGCGGCAGTAGATCGTTCCATTCAAACTATCAACAGAACAGGCACTGCAACAGTTGTC